CACCACAGTACAACAAACTGACAGATGAGTGGTGGAATAACTGGATGGTTGCTATAAAACGTTGCATGAAAGTCTGTTTTCAAAATAGGGGAAATCATTGCAGAGCTGCTAGTACACCTTACCCAAAAGTTTTAGATAGTGAGAAAATGCAGAAGCAAATAAAGACAAGATTCCAATAAAATCAAATGCACACAAATGAAAAGGAATACTGATATGTTTTTTCCACCAGGTCAAGGATCCCTGTTCAGACAAGAATCTGGACGAAGCTTAGGACATATTGGAGGGGTCTTGAAAGAAAATACCTATGTTTAAAAACTCTGAAACCATACCCAACTAGAGAAAGAGGAACTATAGAAGTTATGTGTTATGTAAAATAATTGTCCCATCTCATTTATTTATACTAATCTATTTTGGAGTCTTTGTGTGGCACTGTAGGATAAAACACTGGACTGCAAGTTTCTGTTTAAACCACAAGATCAGTGGTTCAAATGCACCAGCTGCTCCTCAGAAACACTGTATATGGTCACTCTGAGTTGGAAATTACTCCAGGGCTCTTAACAACAACAATCTATTCTTAGAATACCAATGGTGGCTAATAAGCAAGGAGTCCATAAAATTACTATTGAATTGATGTCACCTGGTGATATGGTTGTCAGTGGTACTTAAGAATGTTAACTTTTATCTAAATTAAGGACAAGAATCCTTAGGTGGATATTATCTTTCAGAATTTATAGATGGTTTATTCTTCACTTTTTTTCACCTTGCTCTGTTTCTTATAAACTCACCTATATGTACTACATAAATGGACTTTCTAACTCTTTTGTTTGTAATTGGGTTCAGTTAATAGAAAGCCATGCCAGTAGATAGTAAGGAGAGAGTAGAGTGGGGGTTTTATATTTATTCTTCAATTTTTCTCTAGAAGGATGACACATTTGAGTTTTTGTCTCCATGGTATTATAGTTCCTGTTAGGCAGACTTCCCTGCACAGATCCTACTATTCCCAGTTTCTGGGGACTTCATTACCCATCTCACTTTTGTTCAGAGGAGTAATGATACCAATATAGTGTATTATTCATTGTAGTTCACTGACAGTACGCCCACATATTTGGAAAATCTTCCTTAATTAAAAGTGCATGGCCATGGTGGTGGTGGTGGTTATGTGCTGTGGAGTCGGTTCTGACTCATAGCGACCCTGCATAGGGTTTCTTAGGCTATAAGTCTTTACAGGAGCATAAAGCCTGGTCACAGTGTGTATATTTTCCCTGTTGGGACCCCAATTAATATAGCAACCATAGTATTTGTGGAAACCAAGGACTATCTATTAGAATGTGCTTCAAAACAGTATGATATCTGTATCAATTATCAATATTTTTATATCATTTAAACCATCAGTATATGTTGAAATAAGCTTCCTTATATCTAAGCTTAGTGAATTTAGGCCCTGATTTCTTCATTTATAAAATGGAATAATGATAATATACATGTGAAAATAAAATGAGTTAATTTATATGAATTCCTTAGATATATGCCTAATCGTACTGAGCATTGACAATATGCTGGCTGTTTTATCATTGATGATTTTGTTAATAAAGGAAGTGACATGTTGTGCTTACACTATGATAATTGCTGCATATGGATGCACAAACACATGGAAATTGGATAAAGGCAAATATGTAAAAGAAAAATAGTATTTTAATAGAATGTGGGTAACTTTTTCATTTAATAAAATTTAAATAACACTATAATTTTATTTTAATAATAATACATACATATATGAATTATTGGTCACATTTTATGCATATTTACACTCTTAAATTACATAAGAAATGACACTGTTATAAGAAATTAGTAGTAGATAATGATGAATTATCAATTCCAAAAATGAATTTGTTTTATCAAGACCAAAATTTGCCAGTATCTGTTGCTATAATTGAATGAGCTATCATGGACGCTAAATATGACATAAATATGACATTTATATCAGAGAAGTAGAAAAAATTTTGGAAGGCAAGATTTGAAAAAAAAAAAAAAAGTTGTTTAAAGAATAACCATGCAAAATATTATTGCAAACAGATGAATTCTGTGGTATTCCCTATTTACACAATGCTTCAAATACATAGATGCCTTTTCTACCCCTAATTAAAAAGATTATTTTTTGTGGTCCTGGTGGCACTGCAAGATAATGTGCTGAACTGAAAGGTCAGTTTGAACTGCAAGGTCGGTGGTTCAAACCCATCGACTGCTCCTTGGAAACCCTATACAGGGTTGCTATAGGTCAGTACTGACTCGATGGCCTTAAGCAACAACAACAATCAGAAAGAAGTTCTTCAACTATGAAATGGCAACACTGTTATCAAATCTATCAGACTTTTCAACTGTAAATCGACAAAGCATTTGACAGTGCTTTGAACTTAATACAATTTCTATATATCTGAGTGATATATATGCTTGGATGAATGCTTGTGTTTTTAGAAAAAAATAAGCACAATTGTACATGAGAATGAATGAAATATACCTTTTCACTTCTCAAAATAGAAGTCTAGAACTGAATAGAAAAATAAATAATTCTTTAGCTGTAGATAATTCACTGAAATGTATTATTGATGACAGCATTAATTTGTTGGCCACGCATCTCAGTTCTACTCTTGAGACTTTTTCATGTTTAGTTACTCCTCATGAAGATTTTAGGCAGAATTACAGGCATTTTGGTAGATAGATAGATTTAGGCTTAAAGCTGTTTCAAAATTTAATAACTCTGCAATTACTTAAATTTGGTGAAGTTACTAGTACCTACTTCATTGAGTTGTTGCACATATGAAAAGCAATGCTAAATATCTCACAAGATTGTCGTTGTTGTTGTTGTTAAGTGCCATCGAATCGGTTCCGACCCTTAGCGACCCTATATAGGGTTTCCCAGGAGTGACTGGTGAGCTTGAACAGCCAACCTTGCAGTTCAAACGGCTTTGCAGATTAGGTACCCTAAATTGAAGGTAGTATAAACAATTCTTGGAATATAAAAGCAGAAAGTTTTTCTCATTTTGGCTCTATAGTAGTGCATATGCTGCCTATGTTGATGCCAGAATTTGTTAAAACAAAATTGACATCCCAGATATTCTTCCCTCCAAAATCAATTTTAGGATCTTTAAACTCATTCTTCCTCTTTCAACAAGACTGTTGTTGCTAAAGGCTGTTGAGTCACTTCCGATTCATAGAGACCCTGTATAGGGTTTCCAAGACGGTACGTTTTTTAAGGAGCAGAAATTCTCATCTTCTTCTTATGGAGCAGCTGGTGGCCTGGAACCATTGACCCTGTAGTTAGTCCAGTGCTTAACCTACAGAGTCACAGTGCTCTTTCAACAAGACTAGAGCCTCTAACTTTACTTTATTTTTCTGTAAAGCTACAGCAGTTCTCTACTAAAATGTGATTTAGTGCTCTCTTCACATCCTTATTTCTCAGTGTGTAAATAAGTGGGTTCAGCATTGGGGTGACTACAGTATAGAAGAGGGCTATAAACTTTCCTTGTTCATGAGAGTTCCTCTTGGCTGGCTGGAGGTACATGAAAATAATGCTCCCATAAAAGAGGGATACAACTGCCACATGGGAAGAACAGGTGTTAAATGCTTTCCTTCGTACTTCTGCTGATTTGATCTTAAACACAGCTTGAGCAATGTAGCCATATGAGACCAAGATGAGACTTAGGGGCAAGACAACAACAATAAAACTTGCGAGGTACATCTCTATCTCATTGAGGCTGGTATCCACACAAGCTAGTTGCATAATGAGAGGCATCTCACAAAGGAAGTGGTCAATATGATTGTTCCCACACAATGGTAACAGCATAGTGAGTGTGGAGCCCACCATGCTGGTAATCAGACCCACAAGCCATGAAGTAAAGGCCAGGCCTATGCAGAGCTGTGGTTGCATGATAACAGTGTAATGAAGTGGCCTGCAGATGGCGGCATAACGATCATAGGACATGACTGCTAAGAGAACACACTCTGTTGCCCCCAGCCAATGGGAGATATAAAACTGGACCACACATCCTCCATAGCTTATGGTTTTTTGTGGTCCCCACAGGTTGACCAAAAGTTGGGGCACAATGCTTGTGATAAAGCTAATGTCCAAGAAGGAGAGGTTAGTGAGAAAGAAATACATGGGAGTGTGGAGACGCACATCCTTGTATGATACCAGAATGATGATGCTATTTCCCACAATAGAAACCACATAAAAAATTAAGACAAGTATGAAAAGAATAGGTTCCAGAGAGGGTCGTGCAGAGAAGCCCAGGAGTACAAAGACTTCTGGAAAACTTGCATTGGATAGTCCCATTACTATGCACGGCTGAGTGTGGGGCAATATAATCTGTGGGTGGGTGGGAAGGGCACAGAGAATGAGAAATGCAGTGATTATATGTTAGCAAGATAAAAGTGATTACTTACCCATTGTTTAAAGTGTCTTCAACTATACTCCTGTTGCATTACTCTTCTAGAGGCCAATTTAGAATGCATATGAAACAATTTTAAAATAGACAATCCCTGGGGAGGGGGGGGTGGATATTCATGCAGATTTGTTGGCATTGCTATTTAAAATTGAGATATCACAGTTCCAACATCTGGTATCCATCAAAATGATGAAGATCCAGTTAGGTATATGGTGGTATTCCATGAGATGAACAACTGAGCATTAATACTGTGCCTTTTCCCAACATTGACTCCAGCTTGGCATTTCTCTTTCTCTCACAGCCAGTGATTCTCCACATTTACTTGCTTTATCTTAAATATATGCAGAATATAATTTATCTTCTTACTTTCCCCCACTCTATTGATACCACCTTATCTCATGTTATCATTATTTATCCCCTGAATTCCTTACATAATATCCTAACTTTTCACACTTTCCCTTTGTCCTCCTTCTCAATTATTCTCAAACAGCAATCAGGTAATTATACTGAGGTATGATATTATTCATATCACTTGGCAGCTCAACTCATTGCTATGCTGTAAGTCTGCATTTGCTGTTTCCTCTATTTGTGCTTTTCTGCAAGAAGAGATGTCTGCATAGCTGTCTCAACATTTGCAGGTTGTGTCTTTTTCTAAAATCACTTTCTTATTGAGGATCTCTCTGTGTTTTAAAATACTGAAAACTTTTCATGTTCTTTACTTCCTTTCCTGTTACTATTTTTTTCATAGTACTTATCATCATGTAACGAGTACATTAGTCTTAATTTACTATGTTTGTTACTTGTCAATGCCATGCTAGACTAAAAGTTCCATGGAGACATGATTTTCTATTTTGCTTGTTTTGAAGTGAACAAATTTTGGAACAGACAGTCTGAATGGAATGTGGTTATGTTAGGTGTAGGCTAAGGCAATACAGTAGCATAGATTAGGGTCATCCTATTTAATCTCCCAATATCACAGTCATGTTATCAGAAAATAATTTTTAGAACTACAAGAAGCATACAGAGGTGACTCATACTTCTCTCTACTCTTGGTACAGGTAGAATACCAAAGTATTACCTAACAGGGAAAGATGTGTTAACCCAGAAGTCCCTGTGAGAAAAATGGGCAATCTCAATCAACTTTAAATGCTTCTGAAACTCGGAAGTATTCTTTGTTTTTGTTTTAAGTTGAGTCTGTTCCAACTCATGGTGACCTGTATAGGGTTTGCAAGGAATCGCTGGTGGGTTTGAATCGCTGACTTTGTAGTTAGCACTCCAGAGCTTATCCTATTTTGCCACACTATATAAATATAAATAACATAAATATATAAATATAGTCCTGGTGTGGATGAGACTGTAGGATGAGTACTGGACTGCTAACCACAAGATCAGTAGTTTAAACCCACCAGTTGTTCCTTGGAAACCCTATACAGGGTGGCCATGAGTTGAAACAGACTTGATGGTAGTTAACAAGAATATATGTGTGTATGTGTGTGTGTGCGTGTGTGTGTGTGTGTATTTCCATGAATTTTAATAAAGAAAAATTAATTATAAATACAGGTCACCCAGGCATGGGGAGCATTTTGTTGAGCTGTGAACTTAACTGCCAATCCTGTAAAAATCCCAGGTAGTGGCACTTACTTACAAATCTATTTACCTCTAAATAGAAGAGAACCAAATGAAATAAAAATGAATACACCTGGTCATTCACAGTATTTTAGAATCCATGGAATATTTCCACTTTGTATATATTGACATGAGGATAAAAAGGCTTCACATATTTTCAAATATTCATGCATGTAATTGCTATACCTGTGTGGATTTTACTGCACCAGAAGTCTGAGGCAATCATTTGATTTATACACAGCTAACCAGGAAAGTTCTGTTATACTGACTGTAAGCAGCCAGGAGATATATTCTACCCACCTCCAAATTGGAAGACAATAATGAGATGTCAGAACATGATTGCTTTCTTAATGTGGACACAGAGAGAGAAGGTGAATTGTAATAGTTGTATGCTATTGAATCATGATGGATCAAAATGACTGACCCATGTTTAGAGTCACCACAGAGGAAGTGATGAGGAGATAGAAGAAATAAAAGGTTAAAATGATAACTATATTCTTACCTGTGGGTGTCAGCGTCTCCTCTGTAGGACAGAAACTTTGTTGATTCATATCTGGTGATATTCAGAAAATGCTTTAATGTCTTCAAATGGACAGTAACTATATGATCACATATAAAATGTTTGGCCTATTTTTTTAGAAAGAAAAACTTTTGTGAAGATCTGCTTTGACTATACTCCTAGAAATGATTCGTGGCTTACCCAAAGTCCTTTAGTTGCTCAGTGCAAGAACAGGAACTACAGAAAACATATCCTGAATTTTTATTTAAAAAAAAAATAACATTCCCAGTTAAGGAAGAGGTTCAATAACCCACAGAGATGTATTAAAATTGCCACAATAAAAACTCATTATTTATGTTTTGTTGTATATCTACTATGTCAACAACAACAACAAAAACCTCACTGTTTAAAATGGAACTCCAACCCAAGCACTGTGCCATTAACTTCAAAGAATATTGGTATAGTGAGAATTATGGAAAAGTCTTAGGATCAAATTTTATGTGATTTCATTATACAGTCATAAACTATATTCTTGGAGTAGTTGTGTTGCTGTGTTGTCGAATCAATTCTGAGTCATAGCAATTGTATGTGATAGAGTAGAACTACCCCATAAGGTTTTCTAAGCTGTAATATTTCTTTGTGTAGAGTTCTGGTGTGGCACTATAGGATAAAACAGTGGACTGCAAGGTCAGTTTAAACCACAACATTGGTAGTACAAACTCACCAGCTGCTCCTCAGTAACTATACAGGGCTGCTATGTGTCAGAACTGACTCAACAGCACTTCACAACATTTGTGTGTGCTGCTGTAGGCTAAGCACAGCACTGTTAACCTAATGTAAGTAGTTCAAACCCACCAGCCACTCCTTAGAAACCCCATACAGAGTAGCTATGACTCTGGAAAAATTTGATGGTACTTCACAGCAATAACAATATTTATGAAATCAGATTGTCAGATCTTTTCTTCAGTGGAGTGGTTGGTGGGTTTCACTCACTGACCTCTCAATTAGAAGCTGAGTGCTTACCCATTGTGCCACCAAGGCTCCCTCTTAGATGTTGGCAAACTACCAAAATACAAAAGACCAAAATAAAAAACAAAGCAAATCATTTAGATGAATCAGAGCTCATCAATCTTAATTGGAATTCACTGGACTGCAAAGTTGGTTTTAACACCAAGGTCAGAGGTTCAAGCTCACCAGCCACTCCTCAGAAACCCTATACAGGGTTGCTATGGGTCAGAACTGACTCTATGGCACTTAACAACAATAACAACAACCATGAAAAACAAAGAGACATACAAACACACGACTATAACTCACTAGTAGTGAGCTAGTAGAGTAATTTTTACATACACAGTGGGACAAGTTGTGTAATTAACAATGTTTTACTTCAATTATTGATAACATTAATTAATTCAGTACCCAATTCAGGAAACCAAACCTACTGCTGTTGAATTGGTTGCTACTCATCACAACCATAAAAGACAAAGTAGAACTGCCCCATTGGCTTTCCAAGGCTGTAAGTCTTTTCGGGCTCACATGGCCACATTTTTCTCCTGTTAAGGGGCTAGTAGCTTTGAATCACTGACCTTTCAGTTAGTAGCCAAAAGCTTTAGCCACCGCATCACCAAGCCTCCATTAAATCAGTGTTTATGACATTTATAAGCAGGAGAACATTTGAGGGATTTTGAAACCCTGAAAATATTGAAAATTTCTAAGGTGGTAGAAGTACTATACTCTGTTCAGATGAATGTCTAAAGAACACACCCAGGGAGTCTTTAAAAAAAGAAAATGGGGCTGAATTAGGAAAAAGGCATTTATGTTGTTGTTGTTTTTTTAGAAAAATGGTGGCATAAAGAGTGAGAAGGGTTCACAATATTTACAGAATGAGAAAATTTATTCTGACCCCAAAATACTTAGCTTGACATAAAGCCCATTGTGCTCACAAAACATTCATTCTATCCCCTGGAGCTTTCAGTAAGGAGGCAGAGGGTGATACTGCATATCAGGGGAGTGAAGCTGAAGGGTGAAGAAGCTTTGGGGATCTTTTCCCTATTGAATAATTATGTTCAATTTTAAAATTGCATACAAAATATTGAATAATAGATATACTAAGTTATGTAAAAAGGTAATAAACTTTTAAATCAAGCTTTGTGTTATGCTTTTTTTTACTGTAAAACATAGTTCAAAGAGTATAAAAATCATATATCTCTATGCAAGGTTTATTATGCAGTGAGGGACAGACAATTAATTGATCATAATACTACTTTTGGTATATGTTGCTGTAGAAAAACTTGTATAGCCAATCATTTTATTATTGCTGTACATCAGAGTGAAAAAGTAATATATTTCTTAATATAATTATTTTAAGTGTGGTAAAATACACATAACATAAAATTTACCAAGTTTATCATATAAAAAAACAACTGTAAAAATCACTGGCATTATGTATAATCACAATACTGAGAAACCATTACCACTACACTACCTGTTTCAGAAATTATTTTTTTCCTACAAAAGGAAATCTCACCCCAGTTAAGCAGTTACTCCCATTCATCACTTTCCCCAGACCCTGACAACCTCTAATTTGCTTTCTATATGGATTTACCAGTTCTGGATATTTCATATTAATGGAATCATATTATATGGCCTTTTGTGTCTGATTTCTTTGACTTAATGTTTTCAAGGTCTATTCATATAGCAGGCATCAGTACTTCATTCTTTTTTACAGCTTAATAATATTTCATTATATGTATATACAGCATT